TCACCTTATAAATACATTAGAAATACTATCAAGAAAGAAAAAACCACTTGTGTCCTGATCTTGAGGTTCATTTTGCCTAACATCATCTTATCTGATCTTTTCTGCTTGTCTCAGACATATACTAGTTATTGAAAATAAGGGAAACCATGGGACCTATGTTTCTTTGGGCCTGGCTTATTCACTTAATATAATTTTTTCCAAGTCTTTCCATTTCCTAACAAATGGGGCAATGTCATTCTTTCTGATGGAGGCATTCCATCGTGTATATACCACATTTTCTTGATCCATTCATCTACTGAGGGGCATCTGGGTAAAAACAACACTGATATAACACCTCACCCCAGTTAGAATGGCTATAATCAAGAACTCTAATAACAACAGATGCTGGAGGGAATGTGGACAGAAGGGAAGCCTACTGCATTGTTGGTTGGAGTATAAACTTTTTCAACCACTTTGGAAAGTAGTATGGAGATTCCTCAAAAGACTCCATATAGAGCTCCCCTATGACCCAGCAATCCCACTTTTGGGCATTTACCAAATGATCACAAAGAAGACCATACTAAAGCTACCAACACAACTATGTTTATTGCAACATTATTTTCATTCCTCTCCTTATCTCCAGAAAGAATTGTGAAATAAAGAAAGAACTGAAAGACATATTATTCCATTCCACAGCCCACAGTATAATATCAAAAAGTAAGCGATAGATTATGGGTTAGCAGGGTGTGGGAAGTGATTACTTAGAAGTTAGTGGGTATTCTTTGGGGATTACTGAAAGTTTTGAAACTAGTCAAGCACTGGTGGCTCACACCTGTAATCCTAGCTACTTAGGAGGCAGAGATCTGAGGGTTGTGATTTGAAGCCAGCTCAGGCAGGAAAGTCCATAAGAGTTTTATCTCCAATTAACTGGCAAAAAGCCAGAAGTGCAGCTATAGCTCAAGTGGTAGAATGCCTGCCTTGAGTACAAAAACTAAGTGTGAGTGCTCAGGCCCTGAGTTCAAGCTCAAGGACTGGCACCAAAAAATTAAAAAGTTTTGAAACTAGAGAGTTTCATTAAGAATATACTCAATAACATCTTAAAATGACTTTATATTTGAAAGTGACTATCCAATGTTAGGTGTATTTTGCCTCATTTTTAAAAAAAAAATTAAAGGAGTACGATCTCTACTGACACAACTTCATTAGAATTAGAAAAAGCTATACCCATTCCAGGAGCTGGTAGCTCACACCTGTAATCCTAGCTACTCAGGAGGCTGAGATCTGAGGATCAAGGTTTAAAGCTGGCTCTGGCAGAAAAGTGAGATTTTTTTTTTATCTACAATTAACCACTCAAAAACTGGAAGTGACATTGTGGCTCAAAGTGGTAGAGTGTTAGCTTGAGCAAAAGAGCTCAGGGATAGCACCCAAGGCCAGAGTTCAAGACCCACAACTGACCAAAAAAAAGTATATCCTTTGGGTTGGACAGACATGGGGCACACAGTTTGTTTGCCTATAGTAATTTGGTGTGAAGAACAATGTACTGAGTAACCAAAGCTCCACATCAGGACACAAAGTATACTCTGTACTCAACATCCCTAGAAGATTGTCCACTCTCCATTCCTCTCCTATATGGACCTCTGGTCTCCCTTCAGGATTAAAGGGCTTAGGGCTGATGCACCTTTTACTTAGAGGAACTGAAAGGAGTGAGGATGCTGGGATGTAGTACTTGCCTAGCAAGTGCAGCATCCTGGGTTTTATGCCCAGTACCAACACTGAAGACAACAACAACAAAAATACAGTTGAAAGCAGTGAGGATGACATTGGGCAAATGGAAGAAGACTGTGTGACTTGGATTAAGATAGAAAGTTAGAGGTGAGAGGAGGTCCTTGAAGGTTATCTGTTATCTAATCTCCATCGCTAAGGTGGGAGTCCTGCCCAGGAGCATGATTGTCCCAGGGAGAAAGGGATGCTATGTGTAGTCATTTGGCTGATGAAACAAAGACATCCGATCTCATAAATAGCTAAGTAAGGGAGATACAACTAGAATAGATTTGATTTCGGTACCCTTTGTCTTGTATATAAGTCTATCTGATTTGGGGAGGGGAAGGGGAAACACAGAAACAGTGGGACAAAAGGTGAACCAATTCCACAGTGATACTCACTAGACACTATGCTGGAAATGAACTATATAACTTTGGGGGAAGGGGAGACAAGAAGAGAAAAACTGGGAGAGAATGAGGGACAGGACTGTCCAAAAGGAAATGTTCTCATTACCTGACTTATGTAACTGGAACCTCTCTGCACATTACCTTTACAATATTTTTTTAAAAAAACAAGTAAAATAGAAATGAAAGATTGAGAAAACCACCCAAAACTGAAACCCTGATGGTACAAAAAAGACTCAAAACATTAGTCTGTCAGTATGTCTGTCTCTCTCTTAGACATGGCTCAAATGTTCAAAAGTAACATACAAACACATCTCTTCTTATGCTACTGAAAGCATTTGGGCCACTTAACATAAATGAAGAATTAAAACTAAAGAGAACAAATACAGTAATGTCTCTTAACTTTTTTTTCATTTTCCTTTGTTTTTATAGCTATTAAGGAACTAAACAAAGGTTTTACAAGTGTACAAGTCAGGTTATGGGTACAGTGCTTCTTTGACAGTGGGTCTCTTAAAGGTTTAAATGTACTGGCATTTTCCCCCTTGAGACTACAGATAGGAAACCCAGTATTATACACAATAGAAAATTTATACAGAGAAATATCATGAATGTTTATGTCTTCTGATTCTATTTCCATGGAAACCAATCAAGACTAAAAAAAATTGTTAAAGGAGAAGAGATTTGGGGGTCAAGTATATTTCTTGATTTATTTGACCAAAGGAAAGGAAGGTTTGGGTTAGTCTTGATTCTAGAGTACAGAAGAATTTTCAAAGGGACAAATATATTCTTAACAAGTAACACAAGGGCAACTAAAGGTCAGAATAGCTACATGGTGTACTCAAAGAGATGTTGAAAACAGTGGCATGGCAGAAAAGCCTGGATGGAGCCCCAATACACAGCTCTACTGTCTACAATGCTCATATCAATACTGTATTCCACTCCTCAATTTTTTGAACCGTTGTAAGGGGAGATAAGTCTTTCCAGTATTAAATATTCTCCTGAATTTAGATAAGGATTCAATAGTTCCCAAGATCGTGATCATGATAAATGCACATTTTAAACATGCAGGTTAGAAAACTGGTTAATCAAAGAATTTGTGATTAGCTTTGCTTAAAAAGAAGCAGTACAAACCCAGGCTCACACCTGTAATCCAAGCCACCCAGGAGGCTCAGATTTGAGAATTAAGGTTCAAAGTCGGCCCAGACAGGAAAGTCTGTGAGATATTTCCCCAATTGACCACACACACACAAAAGTCAGAAGTGGGATTATAGTTCAAGTGGTAGGATGCCAGCCTCAGAGGAAAAACAAAAACCTATGGATGGTGCCTAATCCCTGAGTTTGAGCCCCAGTACAAGCACAAAATATAACAATTTTTTTAATAAAGGAAGACAAAGAACCAAGTCTTCTAATACAAATTTGATGTGGGCCTTACAAACTCTTGGGAAGAGTTCTGATCTAAACTTAAAGTTGTCATTTCTGAAGAAGCAATCTAAGTACTGTATACTAGATCAAAGGCCCTGGAAACATTTGAACTCTATTGCTCTGTATAATCCACAATCCCTGGTGGTTGTGGCTCACCTTCGCTGCACTAACACAATCTTCACTTCCACCTTTGTCAGTCACTCTATTCAAATTGTATGAACGTCAAATTGTATAAACTTCTGGTTCAACAGGCCTCATCTCTTAACATCTACAATAACTCAACATGCTGAAGGTATAACACACACAGAATGTTACACACTCTAGAAATAAGGAGACTGAATATGTCTTTTGTACATCTAAGAGCATTTAAATTTTAAGTTTACATTTTATTACTTTCTGTAATAAAAAAAAGACACAGTCACAAGACTGGTAGATTCAGATTTTGTCTTTAGCATTTAATTCATGAAGCATATTTTAATGATTTTTAAAAAAATAAATAAAATCTCTAGAAAGTATCTAATAATTAGAGTTATTGCTTACCTTATCTCTACTCTTTACTATGAAAATAAAAGTCTATAAGAAATTGGGATATTTATATATGGCTTCTTTCCTTTGATTTTCCTTGGAAACTACTCACACCAGGAAAAAATAAGAGAAGAGACCATAGTGGCTAGTTAGAGGATTTCATCCAGTGTCAGATTGTAGTAGAGTTTCAGCTTTCAGATTCACTGCCAAATCCTGGACAACTTCATTAAATCTGTGGCTCAATTTCCTCCACCAGATTATGAAAATGTCAGTGGTTCCCCCTCATAGAGTTGCTCTGAAAAATTAAATATTGGTGCTTACAAGGTATTCAGAACTGTACTGATTATGGTACATAATAAGTACCCCCAAAGTGGTAGTAATGACAACACATTCACGTTTCCCAGATGCAAAGAATTTCTCTCTCTTTTCTGGTCAGCTGAATCTAGCCTTCCTTACTTCATAGTCAAAGCAAAGATGAGAAGGAAAAGAAGGAGCTTCACAAGACCAGGGAGCCCAATTGCAAGAGTCAATAGTGAGCAATACTGACATTCCTTAAGCAGGAGAGTATAACTCAATTATCTGGGGGATAATGGGAAAATTACAACAAATAAGGGGAATCAGAGTTATGATCTCAGTTTACACTTATGACTATTTCACCACAGTTAAGAACTCTAATTGGAGACCAAATAAAATCAGCTTTTAAAGGCTTTCAGAAGGTTGAACAAGTAACTTAAGAGTAGCTCAATTATTATTCAGAGACAAATTATACAAACACAAACAAGGAAGAAACACTGAGAATGAGGAAAATAGGAGCCAGCCAAGGATTATAAAAGGCCCGATCCAGCAGTCACCATCCAAACTCAAAAAATTTCTTCAGGCAACCCAACCATCAGACCAACTCCTGACACCATGGCCTGCTGCGCTACCAGCTTCTGTGGGTTTCCCAGCTGCTCCACCAGTGGCAACTGTGGCTCTAGCTGCTGCCAGCCAAGCTGCTGCCAGCCCAGCTGCTCCCAGTCCAGCTGCTGCCAGCCCAGCTGCTCCCAGTCCAGCTGCTGCCAGCCAAGCTGCTGCCAGTCTAGCTGCTGCCAGCCAAGCTGCTGTGGAACCAGCTGTGGTATTGGAGGTGGCATCAGCTGTGGCCAGGAGGGAGGCTCTGGAGCCATGAGCTGCCGCGTCAGATGGTGCCGCCCAGACTGCCGCGTGGAGGGCACCTGCCTGCCACCCTGCTGCGTGGTGAGCTCCACACCCCCCACCTGCTGCCAGCTGCACCATGCCCAGGCCTCCTGCTGCCGCCCATCCTACTGTGGACAGTCCTGCTGCCGCCCAGCCTGCTGCTGCCACTGCTGTCAGCCCTCCTGCTGTGAGCCCACATGTTAAAAGCCACAAGATGCTGATTCCTAACCTTGAAGTTTCTTTTATCTGAGAACTTTTATCGGTGCAAGAACAAGTCATTGGGCATCTAAGAACTATTTTTCCAACATTGAAAAGATAATGATCACTTCTCTAAAGATGCAAAAGTGAACAGAAAATGAGAAAAACAATTTGCATAGAGATTGACCCTCAACAAATATCCCACCCCATTCTCTCCGAAGGCATCTCTTCTTCTAAGACATTTTCCTCTCCGTCTTCCACTGTCTTACCAATTGTATTCCTTATGAAAGAAGAATAATGTATCAGGTCTAATAAATCCTATCAATTGTGGCAGCAAAAATCTCTTCTGCTTTTCATTGAATATGTTCACAATAGAGGTTCCATATAACCTTTCACATGAAAGATTTCCTTTTGTTGTTTCATTCTCTGTTCTTATCACACTGGGTTAGGAAATATGAGGAGGTCCAATAGAAGTTAATCTCCATGAAAAATATAGAACAGCCAATTACCTAGGACCACAGAAATGGTACAGGCTCTACCTCTGCCTCACTCAGTGCTTCTATAACCAAACAGGTAAAGAAGCCAGGATCTCTGGATCTAGAACCTAAATATGACATGGTTTTCCATCAGTTTGTAGGATATTATTTCAGGCAAGCTTCAGACTGTAGGAATTATAAGTCATGCTCCAAGTAGCTTATGCCTTATAATCCTAGCTACTCAGGAAGTTAAAATCTGGGGATCATGGCTCAAAGCCAGCTGAGGCAGAGAAGTCTATGAGACTCTATGTCCAATTCACTACCAAAAAGCCAGAAGTGGAGCTGTGGCTCAACTGGTAGAAAATCAGCTTTGAGAAAAATAGCTAAGGGACAGTACTTGGGCCCTGAGTTTAAACTTCAATACTGGTATAAAGAAAACACACACACACACACACACACACACACACACACACACACACACATACTTCCATTTACATGGCAGATATAGATCAAGAGACATATAGAGACAGAAAACCTTCAAAGAAACATATTCAATTAGATGGAGATTTTTTTCCAAAATTTTTTCCAAAATCTTCTCTAGTTTCTAAATAAGAAGTGGGAATAGTAAAAGGGTTTACTCAGCATTTAGGATTAACATGTCACTTACTAGAAATACACACATATTTACTCTCATATGTAGATTTTAGATCCAAAATACAATATCCTATATAAACACAAAAAAGCCTATGTTTATATACACGATCTAGTTGATAACCATATGGAGAGGAACTTCATGCAGTAAACCTTTCAAACAATTAACAGACAGTTTAACACAATGAATACCAAGGAGGGGGTAGCCAAGAAGGAGGAGTGGATAAGTGAAAAATGGAATAGGAGACAGCTACAACCATAATACTGAATGTACATGTGTGATAAAGGAAGTAAGAAACGTGAATTGAGTTTGGGAAAGGAAGCAGATGGGTGGGGGAGGATCATGGAAGGGTTGATTGTCAAGAAGCCGTGGACATTTACATGAACATGTTCAATTGTAGCCTCCTTGGTTCAACCTTTGGAAATTCAGAAATAGTAAACTATATAAATAACATTAAAATGTTTAAATATAATACACCTATTCACCAAATCTATACACATTTTAATATTAGTATCAGGAAATGCTTCATAAATTTGGGTATTTTTCAACAAAGATAAGGGTTAATTCATTCTACATTGGATTTAGCACTGGAAGGTAGTGACGCTATATTTTATATAAAAGATATTATGTGGCTAAAAGCATAACATTTTACCAGGTGCTGGTGGCTCACACCTGTAATCCTAGCTACTCAAGAGGCTAAGATCTGCAGATCACAGTTCAAAGCCAGCCTGGGCAGGAAAGTGCCTGAGATTCTTATCTCCAATTAACCAGCAGAAAACCAGAAGTCATGCTGTGGCTCAAGTGATAGAGCACTAGCCTTGAGCAAAAGTGCTCAGATTAAAGAAAGTTCCCAGGCCATGACTGTCAAATCTCTCTCTCTCTCTCTGTCTCTCTCTTTCTCTGTCTATAGATATGTATATATACATAACACTTTATATATTCAAAGATTTGTGAACATCAGAATGTTAGAAAGCATAATTAAAAGGTAATGTGTAAGCAAAATATTGATTTCCCTGAAACATCACAAAGAGATCAGATCTAATTCAGAAAACACCTTTGAGTGTCAGAACAGAAATGGAGACACATCCCATTGTCCTCTTGACTCCAACTACTAACCACTTGCAGAAATCCAACTTCTTCTTGGTGGTGGCAGGGGAGGGCATGGAGGAGAAGAAAATTACACATGAATGTTTAAGATGCAATTTCAGCTTTTCATCATTATTGTGCACTACTAATAATTCGATCACTCTTTTATCCCATGAGCATTTACTGAGAATCCTCAAGCAAGATGATACAGAAGCATTATGTAGGATACTAACATGACTGACCTGCTAGATTTATTATATAATTTATATCCAGAAAGTATATCCTTGCATTTTACAAGTGAGTAAAGCAATATTTGGAAAGATTAAATCCTTTTTCTTCCCACTCCCCATTTAGAATGATGTTGACTGTAGCTTTGTCATACATCTCTGTTGTAATGTTTAGGAACTTCTAGTCCTAATTTCTTGAGAGCTTTGAACATTAATTTGTCAAAGTCTTTTCTGCATCGATTGAAAGAATCATGGGATTTCAGTCATTTGATGCTATTTCTGTGCTGCAATATATTGATTGATTTGTCTATGTTGAATAATCTTTTTATTCTTGAAATGAAACTGACTTGTTTGTGGCATATGATCTTCATTAATGTATTGAATTCAATTACTATTTCATTGAAAATTTTTGTGTATATGTCCACCAAAGAAATTGGAATATAATTTTTCCCATTCTATCTTTGTCTAGTTTTGATATCAGAATACCGTTTTCATATCATTTGGCTTCATGGAATCAGTTTGACGTCATTCCTTCTCTTCCTTGAGGCACATGGGTATGAGCTCTCCTTTAAAGGTCTGGTAGAATTTGTCAGTGAATCCATCAGGTCCTGTGCTCGGCTAGGCTCATTACCCTTTATTAATGTCTCATTCCTTGTTATAGACCATTTAATTGGTTTATATCTTCTTGGTTCCATTTTGGTACCTTCACTGCAGCTAGAAATCTATCCATTTCGTCTACATTTTCCACTTAATTAGAATATATTTGCAAGGAACTTCCTAACTATCCTCTTTTTTGGTTAGGTTGACTAGTTGCTTATCAAGCGTATCTTTTCAAAGGGAGAACTTTGTGTTTCGTTGAGTACTAGTATTGTTTTCAAATCTCCATTTCATTCATTTCTACCCTAACCTTTGTAATTTTTTCCACCTTCTTATTATTGTTTTTCTAGGATCTTGAGGTACACGTTAGGCTGTTTACTTGAGAACTGTCTTTTTTTAAATATTTGTGCTCATAGCCATATACTATCTTCTTAGGGTCTGGGTTACAGTGTTTTAATTTTCATTCAATCATGGGAATTTGTATTTTACTCCTTATTTCTTTTATCACTCAATGGTCATTCGACAATATATTTTTTAAAGTTTTATTTTCTTGTAAAAATTCTGTACAGAGGGATCACATTTACATCAGTGTGGTAATGAGTACAAGTGTCCATGTGCTTGGATATTTTTCTGTAGTTTCCTTTACTGCTGAGTTCTAGATTTATTATATTATAGTCTGATAGGAGTTATTTCAGTTATCTTATATTTTTCTAAAATTTGTTTTATGTCATAAAACATGATCTATTTTGGAGAAAGTCCTATGGGCTGCTGTGAATATGTATTATTCAACTGGTGGGTGACATATTCTGTATATAGCTCTTTAATCTATTTGACCTATAGTGTCAATTAATTGATTGATTGATCATTAATTGTGTGTGTGTGTGTGTGTATGACCTTTCTACTGATGAGAATAGGCTATTTAAGTCTCATTGTGCCAGGGTCTGTCTGTACTTGCAAGTCCAGTAGTGTTGGGGTGATTTGTGTGTGTCAATGTTTGGTGTGTACATGGTGCAAATTGTTATCTCCTCAATGAATTATTCCTTTTGGCTCTTCTAACTAATTTTGGTTTGAAGTCTATTTTATCAGCTCTAAATATAATTACTCCTGGCCACTTTTAAGGTGCGTATGCTTGGAAAACCTTTTTACATTCTTTCACTGTAAGTCAATGTTTGCCTTTGTCAGTTAGATGTATTTCTTGTAGGCAAACATGATCAGGTCTTGCTTGCCAAGAGATCATGAACAGTGAATATCAAACATTATGCAGTTTTTTTTTTACTTTTTGTTATTTTGCTCATGCATTCATCTATGGGGATTTGTTCTTTTCTACATTTTCCTGCTTGCATTTATCATCTGTAAGTATGATTCTTTAAGTATCTTCCACAGTGGTGATTTAATAGCCATACACTATTTTAAGTTTTTGATTATCAAGCAAGGTTTCATTTATCCTTCAGTTTTGAAGGACACCTTTGTTAAGTACTTTAATCTAAGTTGACAGGTATTTTCTTTCAGCCCCTTGGAAGTGTCATTCCACACCCTCGTTGCTTTTAGAATTTATGTTTGCTTGATTTTTAAATCTCCTCTTATTCTGATAGGTTTACCTTTATATAAAACTAATTTTTTAGGTGGGGCACTGGTGGCTCTCATCTGAAATCCTAGCTATTCAGAAGGCTGAGATCTGAGGATCATGGTTCAAAGCCTGCCTGGAAAAGAAAGTTTGTGAGATTCATCTCCAATTAAGCACCAAAAGAGCCAGAAGTATCTCAAGTGGTAGAGCACTAGCATTGAATACAAAAGCTCGAGGACAGCACTTAGACTTGGGTTCAAGCTCCAAGACTGGCACCAAAAAAAGAGATTTTTTAAATGAGAAACAGTCCTACTATGTACCTCAGGCTGCTCTTTGACCTCACAGTCTTACTGTTAGGTTTTTAAAAAGAGGTAGCCGAGTAAGAACAGCACCAGCATGAACGTGGTATTCAAGTAAGGGGTAGGTTTATTCAGTAGACCTGCTGGGACCAGGCAAGGTTGGCACTCCACACGGCTGGGAAAGGCCTGGGAAAGAGAGCTGAGAAAGAGAGAGGAAAGAGAGAGAAAAGAGCTAGAAAAGAGCAGCGAGAGAGCTAGGTAGCAGAGAGAGCTAGAATAGAGCAGTGAGAGAGGAGAGAGAGAGAGAAGAGAGAGAGCAGGGAGAGCTATAAAACAACAGAGAGAGAGAGAGAGAGAGAGAACTAGAAAAGAGCAGCAAGAGAGCGTCTGGGCCTGTGCTAGGCCTTAATCTAGGGTATGGGCGGAGAAAGGTGTGGCCACATCAAATTCAGATGTGACCTCAGCGGATGCAGATGTGACCTCTTCCAGGTGTGCCAGTTGCCCAGGTAATGCAGGTACTGGGTGGAGACTTTGCTGTGAGGAGGGTGGAGTCTGCTAGCCATCCAAGAGCAGACCTTACACTTAAAATCTCAGCTTTTCAATCCTCAGATTTTATGTGTGTGCTACTATGCCTGCTAGCTCAAAAGAATGAAAAGGCCATTTAAAAACAATTGTATACCAGAGTTATAGTTACATAGGTCAGACAATTAATGTATTTCTTTTTGTACAATGTCACCCCTCTATAGAACACCTTTGTAATAACAATAAAAATTTAAATAACTTAAGTTTTGTTACAGGTATTTTAATCACAGTTTCTAAATTTTAATATAGATTAAATCAAAATGTTCTTGTAATATAAGATAAACTATTGGGGCTGGGAAGGTGGCTCAGTGGTAGAGTGCTTGCCTTGCATGCATGAGGCCCTGGGTTCAATTCCTCAGCACCACATAAGCAGAAAAAAAAAAGCTGGAAGTGGCATTGTGGCTCAAGTGGTAGAACGCTAGCCTTGAGCAGAAGAGCTGAGGTACAGTGCCCAGGCCCAGAGTTCAGGCCCCACGACTGTACCCAAAATAAAAAAATAAAAATAAAATAAAATAAATAAAAGAAGATAGACTATGTGCTTATGCTCATTTATATTTGCAGAAGTAGGAAGAAAGGAATAAAAAAATGTATCTGATATTATCTTTGGAGCCCTGGTTGGGGAAAGGATATGTGTGCATGCACCCTTTTAGGAAAGAAGACTCTTTCTTTAGATGACTGTACTGTTTGACTTGTCACAATGCGCAACCATGACTAGCTTATGCTTTTTAACTTATTCTAGACAAAAAACAATTTACAGGAAAAAAAGACATTAAGGACTTTGATTGAGAATATATGTTCACTGGTAATTAAGGCAAGAATAATACTCATAACTCTTAAGATCCTGTAACTTGCAAACACTGATCACAGGAAGATAGATGTTCTCTGTTACTGAATCAAGTGATAACAATGTTTGAAGGATGCTAAGATTAGTCTTTCCCAGTCTGAACAAATTGCCTCTGAAATCACGACCTTAGGTGACCAGTTTGGAAGACAATGTTCAGTTTTGATAAAATGTTTCTAAAGGTCATTGAAGGTCAGATAATGACACAGTCAACCAGGGCAAGATTAGGCCTAAGTCTAGCCCATCACATGACTTACATAAAGAGACGCTCCTGCGCCTGGCTTCCATATTCACCTTCGCTTAGCCCAAAGAAGGAAGAACCATAATGAGATTTAATTGAACATTAACAAAAACAAACCATTGGATGCTACTTATAATTTTCTTGACAACTCATGTATAAGCCAATCAAAGACTGCCTTTGCAATTGGCATCAAGGAAAGATGCTAAATGTTAGGTAAACAAGCAGCTCTGGGGAAATATATAAAAGGCCATGTGTGGAAGGTAGAGTCAAAACCCAGAAACTTCTCTCTCCAGAACACAAGTCGTCTGAACCTGACTCTTGACACCATGGCCTGCTGTGCTACCAGCTTCTGTGGGTTTCCCAGCTGCTCCACCAGTGGCAACTGTGGCTCTAGCTGCTGTCAGCCAAGCTGCTGCCAGTCCAGCTGCTGCCAGCCCAGCTGCTGCCAGCCAAGCTGCTGCCAGTCCAGCTGCTGCCAGCCAAGCTGCTGCCAGCCCAGCTGCTGCCAGCCCAGCTGCTCCCAGTCCAGCTGCTGCCAGCCAAGCTGCTCCCAGTCCAGCTGCTGCCAGCCAAGCTGCTGTGGAACCAGCTGTGGTATTGGAGGTGGCATTAGCTGTGGCCAGGAGGGAGGCTCTGGAGCCATGAGCTGCCGCGTCAGATGGTGCCGCCCAGACTGCCGCGTGGAGGGCACCTGCCTGCCTCCCTGCTGCGTGGTGAGCTCCACACCCCCCACCTGCTGCCAGCTGCACCATGCCCAGGCTTCCTGCTGCCGCCCATCCTACTGTGGACAGTCCTGCTGCCGCCCAGCCTGCTGCTGCCACTGCTGCCAGCCCACCTGCTGTGAGCCCACCTGCTGTGAGCCCACCTGCTGCCAGCCCTCCTGTTAAGGGCCTGACTCCCTCTGGGTGACTTAGGAATGAAAGAGGAAGCACAGCAAAACAGCACTGATCTCTGAAGAAGTGCTTCATTTGATGGTTGCTAAGTATGAGGATGTTGCTAAGGTGCTTAGAAATGATAAAACTCTTCATCAAGACCCTGAAAACAAGCATCAATCAGCATTCCCTGGAGAGCGTCTTCTACCTTGAGTAGAGCATCTGGAAGAGACTGTTAGTTTTCCTGACATTTCGGCTTCTTTTCCTATCTCTTGCTTCCTCACTTCTTCAGACCTGCTTTCTACTTGATTATTCCTTCTGTTACTTTCAAATAAAATATCTTGATGTGCAAAGCAAGCAGAGTTATGTCCTTCTTGTAGCACTAAGCTGTATGCCTGCAGCTGAAATTCAAGAGTGGATTTGCATTGTGATAAGGCCTGATTCCATCTGCTAATTAAATAATCTTCATAGCTACTCATATCATGAATAATCTTCATAGTTATTTAGATGCATATGGGCACATTAGGGTTAGGTATTGATTAATATAGACACTTTTAGCTGAAATATTCAAGCTAATCATTGCTACAGATTCCCACATAAAACAAGATCATGCCAGCTTCTAAGTATGTTTCTGCCATCTGTATTCTCTTCCCATTTAATATACTATAATGCTCCTTCTTCATTCATACCCACCAAAAAGAATCTACACTATCTTCTACTAAATGTATACATCAGTAGCTACCAATACTAATTCCAAGGACATTTAGGTTCAATTCTTGTGTCTTGGTCTGTGTCCTTCTTCCCACTGACCCCCAAATTTCTCTTCTCTCTAAGCTTTAGCTCTCATTATTCCACATCTATTCTCATGATCACATCATACCAACACAGCAATATCATGGATCTGTACTTTGCAGCCCAACTGAAACAAACAAACCAAAAAAGGACTTCTCTGAAGATGTTAACACAAATCTAGAACAAACCTAAGTTGCTCTTACTATTTACTTTTTGATTATTAAGCATTTGACCAGGAAACACAAAATGCAGATATACAAAATACATTAAGACATGAGTACAGGAAAAACTAGCCAAAAACATTTTTTAAACTTATTGACAAGTGCCCAGCACTTTAATGGATGGTGGTGATGGATCATACACAAGCGGATGCATTTCAGAAAAAGATTTATAGCAATGCATTCTTCAAAATGTTGGAACTCCTATGTCTTTCTTCCTAAGCATTCATTCAGTGATCCAATTCAGACAACAATAACTCAACATTATTCCCCAGTCTCATTTTTACTTCAGATAGCAAGTCTCTTTCATGAGAGATATTACATCTTGTAAGTTCTATTTACTTCTTTATGAGTGGTCCAATCCTACCTATTCAATGAACATTTATTGAATTCGACTCAATGAATAGTTCTTAAGATTCTTCCAGAAGCTAACCCTTCTTCGATACTAAACTCATCTGAGTCACAAGAAAAGATTTTTGGTCTGGACTATAACTCATATTTACCTATTTCAAATGGATAAAAATCAAAGGAGCTGTACTGGGAATTGGATAGGATGTCAGAGTCAGTGAGTTGGAGGCTTTAATTACACATTAGCAAAGGTGCTCTCTGAGTCCCTAGCTGTTTTACATTCAATGGAATTCGGTTTTCAGATAGAAAAAAATACTTAAAAACAGCACAATTACCCTTAGCTTTAGAGGTTTGGATAGATGGTCAGTAGGAATGACTACTATTCAAAATGAGGGTGTTGACTTGATGTAAACTCAGAGGACTCTTTGAACTCAGGAAACCACAAGCCTTCTAATGAGCAAAAAAGTCTCAGTGACCTTGTAAAACAAAGTAATTTTCATCATGTGACACAAGTCTTCCAATGGAAGCCAATCTGAGGTCCACTGAGAGGCAAATTTAAGCTAAAAAAAGAAAAGCCAAGCAAAATATGTTAAGAATTTTTACAAACAGCAGCTGGTTTGGAGATATAAAAGGCCCCACATGGAAGTCACCTCCAAAACTCAGAAACCTCTCCAAGTAGTTCACCTCTCAACTCAACCCCTCACAACCAACCATGGCCTGTTGTGCTACCAGCTTCTGTGGATTCCCCAGCTGCTCCATCGGCGGGAACCTTGGCTCCAGTTTCTGCCAGCCAAGCTGCTGCCAGACTGGCATTGGAGGTGGTATTGGAGGTGGCATCAGCTCTGGAGCCATGAGCTACCGCATCAGGTGGTGCCGCCCAGACTGCCGTGTGGAGGGCACCAGCCTGCCTCCCTGCTGCGTGGTGGGCTCCACACCCCCCACCTGCTGCCAGCTGCACCATGCCCAGGCTTCCTGCTGCCGCCCATCCTACTGTGGACAGTCCTGCTGCCGCCCAGCCTGCTGCTGCCACTGCTGCCAGCCTATCTGCTAAGAGCCAGGTTGCTGGTGCCTAATGTCCCAGGACACTGGATCTTGGAAGTGTCCACTTCCTTGGCCACCTTGGGCCAGTAACTAGTTCCTCTTTCTATCTTATTTCCTATTCTGGGGCTTAGTATTATATGAGCATCACCACTCTACCTGATTCCATTCTAGACGTAATACGCTGACCCTCACCTATGGCTTGGAAATTCTAAGAACCTCCCTCTTTGTCATCAAATGGCCTCGGGTATACTTTTTCTGACACTGTCTTGTGGGATTGAAAATTGACATGTTTGGGGGTCTCCATGACCGTATGTGCATCCTGCTTTGTGATCTATTTTTATCTTCCATTTTCCTAAAAAGTCAAATTCTCCAACATCAAAGGCCCCAGAAGGTAGCCAAGTGACGTTCCTCAGATGTCATCGGAGAATCACAACATGCCTGTTGACTAGTTCAATTGTATCTGTGGTGTCTTCTGATGTTTCTTAATAAAGTTTATATACTGAGCAAAGAAATCAAAGGCTGTGTTTCTATTTATACATCGAATGGCTTCAATGCTTATAATTCAAGAACATCTACTCAAAATAATTCATATTTTCCTTTTTCTCTCTCTTGCTTTTTTTTAAAATTAGCTTGTATCAATTGTACAAAGGGGTTTCATTATGGCATTCGCATACGTGCACATGGTGTGCTTCAATAAAATTCACCCTCATGATTACTCTTTCTTTGTCCCCTGTTTGCTTCTTTTCTAAAGAGACTGAAGTATGCATTTATGTACTCAGTGGTCAAAGTAAATGAGCTATCAACCTGTGAACCCCATGGAGAGGAGCTTATAGGGATATCGAGAAGGGTCAGAAGCCAGGCTGAAAATACTACACACCATGATTCCAGCTGTGTGACATTCTGCAAAAAAAGGAAAACTATGGAGACAAGAAAAGAAGTCATGCTTGTGTTCCACACTGAAATAGAAGCTTGAAAGAAAAGATAATTATGAAAATAGAGAGACAAAGGACTGGTAAACAAAACCTAAATACATATCCTCTAAGGTCCTGAGACATGCTTCCTATTTAAATAAAAGGAATATACATCAGTGGTGTTTCCACATCTTCTTCATCTTAACTCTTCTCACTTAAAACACATATCCCATGAGGACTGGAAGAGACACTGACCCTGACATGCGTGACCAGCCAAATGAACGCATGCTACCAGTGGCTACTTGTAAATCTCAAGCTCATATTCATTGAGCTCTTCTAAATTTGAACCCTAGAATTTTCTTTACTATTACATGATAAAGTAGAGTGTAGGAAGCTTTTGAATACCAACTCCTTACACATGATACCTAAAAAGATTAGAGGTGTATCAACAGTCTAATGACAGGGAGGAAACACGTATATTTCCTATTCAAAAGCAACAGTGGGAAGCTGGGTGTTGGTTCACACGTGTAATCCTAGCTACTCAGGAGGCTGAGATCTGAGGATCGCAGAAGACAGCCCAGGCATATGTAAGTAAGACATCGCCAGATATACTGGCAGGTAAGGCTCAAGATGAAATGGCAGCTTGTACTGCAACTGGTAGCTGTCTTTACTGCCTTCCCTTTGCTCTTGTTCCTTCTTTAAAAAAAAACATCCAGGGCCAGTGGAATAGAGCCCAAAAATGAACCCATAGACCTATAGCCACCTGATCTTCAATAATGAAACAAAAAAAATAGAATGGAAGAATGACAGCCTCTTTAGTAAATGGTGCTGACAAAATTGGTTAAACACCTGTAGAAAACTAAAATACATCCTTACATATCATTCTGCACTAGAATCAAAGATCTTGATGGATCAAAGGGATCAAAGACCTTGAAGTCAAAGCAGACACCCTGAAAACATTACAGGAAGGAATAGGAGAAATTATAGGGCTCCTTGGCACAGGCCTTAATTTTTCTTAATAAAGACCCAGAAACATAACAAATCAAAGAAAAGTTGGACAAATGGGATTGCATGAAACTGCAGAGCTTCTGCATGGCAAAGGACATAGCTAGCAAGATCAATAGAAAGCCCATGGATTGGGAGATCTTCACTAGCCATACAACAGACAAGGGCCTCATATCTAAATTATACTTAGAACTCAAAAAAGTAAATCCCCCAAAAACAAATCCTCAAAGAAACAACTGGCCCATTAAAAAGTGGGCTAAAGACTTATAGAGAGACTTCTCTGAAGAGGAAATAAGAATGGCCAATAGACACATGAAGAAATGCTCAACTTCTCTAGCCATAAAAGAAATGCAAATCAAAACATTGAGATTCCACCTCACCCCAGATAGAATGACTATCATCAAGAAATCTCGTAACAACAGATGCTGGAGGGGATGTGGACAGAAGGGAACGCTACTGCATTGTTGGTGGGAGTGTAAACTTAATTCAACCACTCTGGAAAGCAGTATAGAAGTTCCTCAAAAGACTCCACATAGAGCTCCCCTATGACTCAGCAATCCCACTTCTGGGCATTACCCAAACGATCACAAACAAGGCCATATGAAAGCTACCAGCCCAACTGTGTTTATCACAGCATTATTCACCATAGCTAAGATATGGAACCAACCCAGATGCCCCTCAGTAGATAAATGGATCAAGAAAATGTGATAACTATATATACACATATATATGTATATATGTGTATATATATATATATATATATATATATATATA